GGTGCATTTAAAATGCTGCTGTAAACTGACTGTGACTCCTCTGAATTCTTTTATGTTCTGGTCACAGAATACGGATATGTGGGTCCCTATTGAGATGTGCATTATTTCTGTGTGGGGGACTGTATTTGCATGCTAATAATAGTCATGAAAAGTGCTGGCTGCCCCTGAAAAATTGGCCACTGTTTTATTCACATGAAGCAAACAAACAAACAAACAGCAACGGTTTTTTGGTCTGTTTTGCTAAAGATCTCAATCTTCACCAGGGAAGCTAAGCAACAAGCTAAATTCTCCCTTTGTGAGTCAATGAACTGCTGCAAATTGCAGTGGTGCTTTTCTCCAGGGACATCCACTCATCATGAAAGGGACAAGGCTCCTAAATGAGCACTGACCGTTTCACAGATGTTGGGTGGGGTTTCGAAGCCACAGTGGGAACTGGGCATCCAAATTCCCTACAGGTTAATGGCATCTGACTTACAGAGTTCCTTAGTCAGCTTTGAAAAACAGCTGCAATGTTTAAAAATATCCCTTTCCATCTGACTTCAATCAGTGGCCTAGAAGATACTATCAGTTTCATTGACTTTTGCTCACCAGACTCTCTGCAGAGGGATTGTGCAAGAAGCAGAAACGATAAACTCTGGAGACATTGCCTCCCATGCCTTGATAGCAGAATACATGAGGAATAACAACAAGAAGGAAAGAAGATCTCCTTAAAACAAGAACATAACAGCTTTTGTAAGGACTCAAAATCTATGCCATGAAACACAGCCTTCTCCACACCCATTCATACAGTGAGCCTACTAAAGTGTGAGTAGACTTGTTGAGAATCCTGACACAAAACTGTATTAATTTTCATTGATGGCACATGAGCCCTTAGCTGAAGTTCATTGAGTTTTAACCACTGCTGGAATCAAAGAGTCTTTCTCAGGCAGGTGGAGAACTAAGAGAGTTTTCCACATCATGAGATGAGAGCTGACATCATCATGGCCAAAGGCCACGCTAGAGGATTCACATCTGCAGGGGCAGGAACTAATGACCCCTCAGCTTTGGGCCAGATCAGCATCATATAAAAATATTAAAAATAGAAAAAGTTGAAAGCACTGACTATCACACTTCCTATTAACACAGTTCTCTCACACCTGAAACTTATATAAAATCCCTGCCAGGCAGTGTCTGTATTTCAGAAACCAAATAAGAACCATGTGGAGGATCTTTGGCTTTGTGATCATGTTTATTTTTTTAGCTTTGCATGGGGAGGGGAGATGATCCACAAATCTATAATTACTACTACACAAGCCACTGCTATAGACTGGAGCTGGAGCAATTTACAGAGAATATGAGCCTTTATATAATACAGAGCATTGGCTATGATGCTGCTATGGTGAAAGATTGAGACCTTCATTTTAGCCAAGAGAATTATATGATGTGGGTGCCTGCAATAGCAGGAAGAAAACTGTGATGTTCAAGCTCTATGTGTCAAGTACTTATGAAAACAATTAACGTTCCAGCATTGCCATTTAGTCAGCTGATTTCTTTCCAGCTCTGCATGGCAAAATCTTTCTAATACTCTACATTTTTTCTGTGTTGCCCAATATCTCCTGTGTAAAAGAATCACACAAAATGCTGTAGGTTAGATATTCAAGTATTAAAAGCAACACATACAGAAGGGCTGTCTTTCAAAAAGTTCAGATTAAATAACTTCATTGGCATTAACTTGGATTGTCTGTGTGTGTGCTCATAGGAAGTTTCAAAGAATGATTTTCTTTTAATAACTTATAGCCATTTCCAGAGGAGGGAGGGAAGCATGGCTCTAGTCATCATGCTTCTGTGCATTGCTTCACTACCAGGTCACTGCAGTCTTTGGTATTTCAGTTTAAAGCACAATGACCTAAATAGTCTGAGAATGTATTTTTCTTGCTAAGAATTATATGTGGGAGCAGACTTGGCCTCTCAGTATCACCAAGGCTAAAGTTTCCTGACCTCTCTGTCAGTCCACATGTATGCTTTTCTAATTAAATCCCCTGTTGGACTGGATATTCCTAACAGTGTGGTTCCCCAAAAGAAAGAGGAATAAAGTCAGGAGGGTGATGAGATGCACAACCAAAGCCTGAATCATATGTGCTGCTGCAAAAGTTATTTCATATTTCAAAAATGTTTGAGCTTAAGGACCCAGGGTGGAAGATGTGGGAAGACGAGGAAATGTGGGATTAGAGGAACACAAGGGATCATGAGACTGAATTTATCTGCATCAAAGTGTACCTTGACAGAAGCAAGTTAAACGAGGTATGGAGAGTGAGTAGGACAAGCAGAAGGGGAGAAGACGGTGCAGAGAACTGGGGAAGAGTATTTTCATGCTTTTTAAAAGGAGGAAACAAAGAGTGGGCTATAGAAAAGAGGCTTCTAGGAAATCTGGAGAGAGACAGAATGGTCTGAAGAGCTGCATCCAGTGTAATCCAGTGGGTTTAGGGCAGTCAGTAATGTATGAAATAAAGATGTTTTACAAAAATTTCATACTTCAAAAGTGTCTTTTACCAAACTGACAGTCAAGCTGAATACCTCAGGAGGGGTGACCTAAAAGCCCAGTCAGACCTGCCTATCTACCAAGCCAACCAGATGGCCAAGACTGTAATTAGGAGGGAACAAGGCTAAGCTGCTGCATTCGTAGCTCAAAATTAAAACCTTTTCTCAAATTCCAGAGGTATCTCTGGGCTCAAGGTGGAGCTGAATAGGGGGTGCGGAAAGATTATATATTTGGCTTTCTTTAACATGAGTCAATATAGAATAGTTTTTAATCTGTCCTTTGTTTACCAGTTCCATGGGCAGCAGATTAATAGTGGAGTTGCTGTGTGCAACAATTAGCTCTCAAATATATTTACTTTTTTGTATTTTCTGCTTAACGATGTTGTGATGCAGAAGACAGTAAGTTCACAGTAGTATGAAAGGAACCCTGATGAACTGAGCATTTCCTCTTGGAGTTTTTGGAGGTTTTTTTTTTTTCATTTGATGGTTTAGAAGCCAATTGAGATTAATTACTTTTTAGGAATAACTCTGCCAAAGTTTGTATACAGGGCAGGGCAAAAAATTTTTCCTTTTCCTTTTTTATTTGTAAATATTCACCCATAAAATATAATAATATTCATTAAAAACTTGTTTATAGTTTACTAGAATTTAAGCCGTTAAGGTACATATTTAACATTCCAGTGATTGTGCAATAGCCTTTTGATGTCTCTTTAGCAAACCATATGGGATATTTCGGGTTGATTGGTCAAAACTGTTACTCTCATCGCCCAGTTTTCCCCAGAGTGATTGCTTATAATAATACAGCCTGGCAAATGGCTATAGTAAGCCAATTCTCCACAAACAGCAGCCCATTTTAACATCAGTATTTCACAGGGATTTGGCTGATGTTCTGGAGAATCTGATTTTTTTTTTTTTTTTTTAAGAGTACACTGCAAAAACAAAGAATGTTGGCTGGGAGAAAACAACTCAGTGTCAGGATTGCAAGGTAGGAGGACCAGTATAGAGGACAAAGTGACCTAAAATACTTTTAGATTAGTTAAAAAGCATTTGTTTAATGGATGAAGTAGAACTTTTGACATTTATAGAGATTCTATCTATATGTATGTATATATACATATATATAAAATAATGAAGATTGACAGGACTATTAGGGTCAAGCCAAGAAGGACTAGGATGCTTCCATTGTGGAAATTATGTGGCTGGAAATATGCACATGACTCCATGTGTGGAGACAGGTAAAATCATATCTAAAATAAAATGTTTTCTCAGGGTGAATTAAGTTTTAAATAGAATCTATTAGACATAGGTTTCAAGGAACTGTCTCAAAAGAGGGAAAAGTAAATCCAGTTTTGGCCAAGGAATCACAACTGCTGTATCTATAGTTACTGCAAAGAAAGCATCCTCTGTTGAGATTCATGTTTAAGACCTGGGCTTTTTAAAAAGTTCTTAAATATTTTCATTTTTTTCCATTACCAGTTAGCTAGTTTAAGTAAAGTTAATGATGGAAAATACAGATTGAGTTCTCCATCTTTACTATTTTATTTTTAGTCAGTTAACAAGATTCTTGATTCTTTCTACTTTTATTGAACAGGATGTAAGTATAAGAACTCTGAGTGTTACACAGTTTTTCTTCTATCTTGGTAAAATCTTTAGAAACCTGGATACATGGAAGACAGCAGTAACTGCTCATGCACTGGCAAAGGTCCCAAGAAGCAAACAAAACCTTGTGAGTTGTTTTAATAATTATTTCAGCACTGCAAAGCAATTCGTGTCCTACTGAAATCAATGGAAATTTTGCTGTTAGTTTCAAGGCAACATTGATTTTACTTTTTGTGAAGTATCATAAAAGTGTGTGTGATATACTGGCAGTTGAGGATTATCTGTTGCCAATGAATTAACAACCTAATCCAAAATACTTTAAGAGCCATTACAGGTATCCTGTGATTTTCCTTACACTTCCAAAACTATGCTGTATCTCACCTTCTCCTTGCAAAAGATAAATGTTCCATGGACAACATATTGTAAACTTTAATTAACATAATCTTTCTATTATCTCTGCTGTGTGTTCTGCCTTAACCAAACAGTCTTATACATAATTTCACAGGGGATCATGACGTGAATATTACATGTGCATGTGCCTGACTTCATGTGAACACACTCAGCGCGTGTTCACACAACACACATATTTTTGCTTCCCTTCTTATATTGTTCTCCCTTCCCATTTTGAAGTGTTTTAGTTTTCTCCAGAATGCCAAACCAGTCTCCCACTCCTATCAGCAGCTTGTGATAGGCTGAGTAACAAAAAGGGACAAGACAGATATAACATCTAACAAATTTGAGCCTCATCAACCCAGGGACTTCTGAGTTTTAATGTATGTCTTTTTCTGGCTGGTGGTATTACCACATGTTGGCATTTGTGTAGTTGCAAAAAATAAAGGCCAAGCATATTTGTTTTGTTTTTGCAATTTTTATTGATACTTCATTTTTTCAAATTACAGTTTCTTTTGACCTTAAACAATAGCTGTAGTGCTTATTTTGTGCCATATTCACCAATTTTCTCAAAAAACTACTTCATTGAGAGGTCTACTTTACTTGTTCAGAAAGTTAACTAAAGGAAGCAGCTCGTTCATCTGGTGTGAGATGTTTGTGTGGATGTATAACGTGTGATAAACCCATCTGATAGCACTGTGATTTCCTATCTGCTGTAAGACACCCTGTCTCCCAGGGGCTGGCTCTCCAGGGAGGTAAGTCCTTCACTGGGAGCTTCACTAGGGCTGTTTTCACCAGATGAGTCTCCATCACTTGTACTTCCTGAAAAGACAATATAATTGAGGTTAAAAGAGATGTCATATCTTTGATGCAGCAAGCTGTGACGTACACACTTGGTCAATGACACTTAAAATACTTTTATGTAGCTATAAATGTTCAGGAAGATATTTTTCTCAGTTTGCAGTCCATTTGCAAAATTTAATTGCAGATCAACTGACGGTATTTAAGTATTGTGCCTCCAGCATGCTTTAAATAACTGCCATTGGAATTCACAATAGTTTGCTCTTATAGTTTGCTCTCCAATCATGCAAGCCTTTTTTTTTTTTTTTTTTTTGTATTATCTCCTGATACTTTCCTACCAGGCAAGAATTGTAGAGAACATTAATTTTTTTGTCTGTCTGGAATACATAAGGCCCCAAAGACCCCACCTCTGATCCGTGTCTTCTTCATTATCCTTTTCTTTCTATGGTTTTAGTCTTCTACCCTATTTCAATAATTCATTTGCCTCAGCACCACCAAACCATGTCAAGGAGGTGTACTGAGGGTGTTTATTTATTGTCTCCTAGAGAGAGTGTTCTCATAGCTGCACAGATATCCCCCATATTAAAGGAATCTGTTTTCTAGCTGAGATTTCCAAAGGGAGGTGTGAATAGAAAAGAGATTAATTCTAACCACAACATTCCTGATTCAGCTTTGATTCAAGTCTGAACTACGAAAAATGTTGCTTTTTTTGGACTCTCGTGTGGCTACCCTTGGTGTCCCAGAGCTCATGGAGAGCTCTCATACAGCTTTTGTACCTGTTTTCTACAGATGGGGTCCAGTCTGGCTAACCTGGACATGTAAAATATGTCCAAATGTCTAAATGTAGGCACAAGAGTTGGGCAGACAAGACTCAACTTCGAGACACTAAAGGTATCTCTTTCTCTCCATTTTCAACACTGCTTAAAGAGGCACTTCTTTTAGGAGAACAGGTTCTGTTTAGATACAGTTTAGATGAGTAAGAGATGAAGACTGGATGTCCACCTGTTTGGGATGCAGTGAGAGGCCCCTTACAAAGGCACTCAGTGTTAGGCAGCACAGTCCACCACACTGTGCAAGGCAAATTTTAACATTCAGACATCTGTGTGAATATGCATAAACATTCTGGAGCTCCTGTTTTTAACTGAATTTCAAGTTGTTAACACATTCTCTGGAAAAAGCCATCCACAGCTTATTTTTTCCACAATGGCCACTCTTCTTGTTTATCGTTTTGATGTTTCCCATGGAAACCGTCATAATTCAAAATATAACACATGTCTTTGAAATGCGACCATGGGAACTCCATTTACTAAATCCAAACCTTTTCAAGCATCATCAGTTTCATAAGTCCCCAGGTAAACTGCTCCCCAAAATGCCAACTTTACGAACTGGTCTCAAACAAAACTTCAAGAGATTTATAGTTCATCTGCAATGAAACAGATTCAAACTCCCTTCCATAATTTGTAAAGGCACTGCCAGCAAACACCATGATGAATCATTGCATTTATGACATGAATTTTGTTAAATTATCTCCAATTACATCTATATACATTCCATTTACGTGCCAGGAACAAATTATACATTCCATCAGTAAATATTGTGGTCTGATCACAAAATGAAACACCTACTTCAACTTGGACAGTATTTTACTGAATGGAAAGAAAATTACAGGTAATAGTTAAACTAGTTATATACACAACAGCTTCTAGATCTAGCAGTGAATAATTTAAAGACATGTAAGATCCTAAATATGAGAGGTTTTTATCCCAGAAATTGCAATTTATGAGTTTAGCATAAACCACAGCAAGGAATACCTCGGTTTTCTGTTGGACTGAGCTTTGAGCTTTCAGTTACCCTTAATTTGACATTAAGTCAAGACATTTCACCGGGCTCTATATAAAGGATCAAGGAAGATTTTTGAAAAGCTAGTTTCAGTATATTTTATGATCACTGGCTTGTCTAGTTCTTCTCCATTTTACTGAAATAAGTTGGGGTTTTTTGCGTCCTGATCACAGATGCTACGAAGCTGAAAAAAACTGATTTCAAGGAAAAGGTGTAGACAAAACAAAATTCATCACAACAGGTTGAGATTGCATCAGACTACATTCTGTACATCTCTGCATTTAATGTGAAAACTGGATTGTTGTTGCTGACGCACTTGTAAATTCCATCTGTTTGGCAGAAGGCCACAGACTGCAATCCATAATAATCCAAGCACACTATCACAGACAATTCTATTTACTGAAAGGTGGGAAAGACTGGATCTCAGAGTAGCTGACTGACAGCCTGACAGCACTCCAGGAACTGAGGCGGGAGCAGTCAGGTAACGACAGAGGTGTAGTGCTTCTGTTCTGAAGGAAGGTACAGCAAATAACCTTGGGTGCAAAGGAGACACATCAACAAAGTAGCAACATGATGCTTAGGGATGCAATTCTTGCAGAACCCAATTCTGGGGAGCAATTCAAGTGATGAACTTGTAGTGATGGACTGACACATTTCAGCACAACATCTTCTCAAAAAGAAATTTAGGGTGTTCAGCCATCAGCATCCGAATTTTATACTGTCTTTCTGGGTGAACTGATGAACATTATGAATCTTTTTTCCAAGGAGGTGGCCTCAGATTGTTGTCAAGAGATGCACAGCAAGAGACTCTATAAGATACCATCCCAGGCTGAGGTCTGGAACAGAAATGGGTTTGATGTGATGCCTATTAAAATTGTATGAGAAGTTTCAGTATTCCAAGGCAAGATAAGATTGAAGATGACTATCAAGGCAAGGCAAAAAGCCAACACTGCTATGAGATGGAATTTAGCAGGAGTCAGCTGTGTAACTGCATTGCCATGGCGCTGGGGCCAAGCAAACACTGGCTTAAAGAGCCGGCCGGGTGTTCTCAGTTCTGCTTGAAGAATAACATGTTGACATGTACTTTTTAAACCTTTCCTTGACAATCTATACTCCATAAATTTCACACTTTATGGCTTGTTTTCAAAAGTTTTACTCAACTTCGTGAACTATTTCAGTGTGTTTTTCTCTCCCTCTCTCTATTTTTTTGTTTAACGTTCCAGTATTTGGCTTTGGCCACTGACAAGGATAGGATATTGAGTTAGACAGATCATTGGACTAAGTCATACACGAATGTTGTGTTCTTATGCCAGTTTGGATGGTTTTAAACCTTCTCTATGCCAAAACTAATCTGTCCTGGTAGATATTTTTCCACCTTTCGGGGGGCTTTCTAAAAGTGCTGGGAATAGCCTCTGTCCGTGGTGCTTGGTTAACAGTTGTGACTTCAGCTCAGTCTGGCATTACACAGACATAATGCTGTGAGGTAAAGTCCCAAAAGATCTAGAAGTTATAGCCAGGACTGTTTAAACATCAGAATCAAGCTTTGAAAATTAGCAGTGTCTCAACCACCAGAAAGCCATTGGAGAGATCAAAATATCCCCTCAGAACTTGAAAGACACTGAGAGATATCAGGAAACTGATGAAAAGGCTTTCTGCAAAATCTTGAGTCCACTTTGGAGGAAAGACCATGAGTGAAGATTGAAGTTGTCTCTTCAATAAGAGAAGTGATGCCTTGTGTTTGCATCAGAATCACCAAATTAATAATTCTGAGACATTATAGTTCTGTGTTACATGAACATCAGCCTCAGCCCATTTGAAGTCTTCTGCCAGCCACAGATACCCTGGGTAGTTTTGTGTCTTGGAAAGTACATTTTGTTCCCAGAATTGCAACGGCCCCCAAAAGCAGAGAGGGCCTGAAGATGAAAACTTAGGACATAAAAAACACTTGCAAACTTGCAGGCCTCCAAGAACAATTCAAAACATCTCTGCCTGCCAAAAAGGGATGGTTTTGTTTACTTTCCTCAAGGCTATCCAAATTTATTTACAAGATACACAGACATGAAGGGGACTTTATTTACTAGAATAAATTCAGGACAGGCAGCAGATTGAAATCTCTGCAGAGTTGGTTTTACTGTCCTAAGCAGTAAGAAAAAAGTGGAAGGACTCTCATAGCTGCATTGAAATTTACGGTGACAAAGGAGAAATACAAGGGGCATAATCAGCATAACTATAAAAAGAAAAGTCAGAAAAAATTATTTATGGTGAATTCAAAGCTTACAGGGACCATAATGACATATAACTAAAGACTCAGGTACAGCTTTAGAGTGGATAGATGTCATTGTGCTCCTCCTAAACCATGGGAATCTCAGCATTCTCATATTAGGTGTTTCCAGTAGACAAAACAGGCCTGTATACCCAGCCTTCCAATTTAGGCAAAGTCTATATTATAACTGCAAATAGAGAGCAAACTATTAGAAGATATAGCTTTTTTATATCATCACAGCAGGAAGATTTCTCTAGCTCTAACTCCAGGGCAATTAAACTTTATTACACACTATCTGCTACAAAATAAATTTGTTTACTGTTGCATCCTTTCACTCTCAGGACAGTCTTAACTGTATGCCCCAGACAATGAAAAATGTTTAATTTATGAAAAGTGTTCTTCCACAGTGATATAACAGAGTTACAGTCAGAGGAAAACATTGGACAGAAAATTTAGGTTTTATTTAATGTCACAAAATGCTTTTCTCACCTGTGGATGCTTTCAGCCTTCTGATATAATCAGACCAAAAGGAACAGTTTGCTTTTTTCAATCCTTTAAGAGTTGGTAAAGAAACAGTGAACTCCTTGTAGTTATCACCATCATCACTTGACAGATACATAGGCCAGAGTGGCATCACCCCCAACATCCTCCTGGAGAAGCTATGAAGGTAGTTTGGATTTCTAAGGGAGCAGAAGAAATGATCATTAGAAAACAATGACATGAACAGTAAAGTGAGAAGAAGATTGGGTAGGTCAGGGAAATGTGTATCCAGTCCCTCTGACCAGGAGAGCTCAAATTCAGTCCAGATTGGTGAATCATTCAGGGTAACTTGTTAGTCTGGTTAACTTCCTAAGGAACAGGTACACAAAACCTGTACAGACAAAGGTTTATGAACATCCTCAACAGCCCTCAATCCCAACCTCAAGCCAAGATATTGTAAAAAGCACATAAAGTCACCCTTCCCCCTTTTCCCACTATTCTAGAGATACTCCTCATTCTCGAGCTTGGCCACAGTAAAGCTGTAGGCTTACAAATTGTTAGAGCAAATGGAGGCTGTTTGAGAGAGGGCAGGATCTGCACTAACTACACTCCCTCTATTCTTCACCCCCTCCCCAACCACAGCACCCTAAAATATCACACACTTACCCAGAGTTTACAAAATTGGAGATATACTGCATAATTTGCAAGGAAAGGCCCTTTTCTTCCAGAGTAAATTGCTGTTCATACTTCGGGTAGAATGGTAGACCAAATGCATACTGAACATCCAGCAAGAGCTCCTGACCCGAGCTAAAGTAAATATTTATGGAAAGATTATTAAAACCATCATTTATTTATTTGGGTAAGAAAGGGATATAATTTAATTCAGGGAATAAAGCAAAATGGTAAATAATTAATGACTATTAATTAGAGTGTGGAGAGCTGTGGGATTTTTCAAATCAAAACATAAAAGAAGAGCAAGCAATAACACAGAGAATTTACCATTAGGTTAATGCAGGGTCTTTAACATTTGTTACAAGAGGAAATTGTGGAAATTGTATCAGGGCACATTTTCTAAATTAAAGAGAAAGTGATAGAGGGAGAAAGTCACTTGGCTATTCCTTAAATGCCTCTTAAGTTACAGACAGACTTTCACTAAATTCAGAAAGTGGAAGCAAGTGGTGACATGGATTCTGGCAGCCACAACGGAAGGTTAATTATGGTTTATTTCACAGTCTTGGAATAAAATCCTGGCCCTTCTTAGCAGCAATTGGATTTTTTCCATTGACTTCACTGTGGCCAGGATTCTGACCCAAATCTTTGGATAAGATGTAATAGGAGATGTTTATGAAGATTTTTCTTAGACATAGTTTTAATCTAATTTCTCTGCTGGCTGGGTGGTTTTGACTCATACACTCTGTTCTCCCTTAGTTTTATATGGCAGTCGAGTCAAAACAGCTTGAGATAATCACCTAGATCAGATTTAAGAAAGAACAATTCTTGAGTAATTCCATGTAATAATTAACACATATTATAAGGAATATTTCAACAATTCACAGATAAAACTGGCCAGGTAAGACCACAACACTTGCATGACTTGTTAGTAAAGGTCACACACCTCAACACCTTCCAGTGCTACAGAAAAACAGTGGCCAACCTCTACTAATAAAATTATAACTAAACTATGCTCAACACGTAGCTTTGAACCACATCTCAGAAGGATTTCTGTTCTGGTCCTATTGAGTTTTGCATATCTCACATTTAGACAAAGGTCTTATTGACTTGGTTTAGCGCTGCATGAAGGCAGACAGCATCAGGGGACCTGGGAGAAAGAGCAGATGTCTGTGAGGCAAGAACAAACAAATCCCAGATCCACTCAGCAAGATTTGATCTGCATTGGCTGCAGTGGCTGCTGTCAAAAGGTGTCACAACTGAAACTATTTTATCTTTGGGCATGAAATGCAGCAGCATTGACATGACCCTGATACTGCCTCCAAAAGAACAAGGAGTATAGTTCAAACCATTATGGACAGGTGGGATGAAAGCAAGATGACTCTTTTACATTTTATGAGTGGTGGCACCAAAACCTCTATTTTGAAAAACAAACACACAGCCCTCTAAATGAAATACATCTTTAGTTGTGTTTTCCTTAGTCTTATCATAATACCTCAGTAATACTTTGCATCTGGAAAGTGAATTATTCACAGATTATTCACCAAAAAAATGTAGAGCTGAAACGAGATTAAAGCATATTTTTCTTCCCCAAATGTTTATAGAAGGATTAAGCAAGATCATAGTTTAATAATTTTGCCTAAAAAATAATTTGCTTGGCCCACTATACAACAGCAATTTCTAGTGTCAGTATTCCAGCAAAGGTACGATATACTTAAAGGAGCAATTTTCTTTTCAATCAAGAGTCACTTTTGATTAGATTACAGGACATGAAATTAGTTGAGGTGCAATGAAGAGATGAGTGTATCCATTTTGGGAAGGCATAGCAGAGATGAACTTAGCTGTGAAGCTAAAACAAGTGAGCTGGGACTGAGGTTTTTCCCCAAACGAGACTGTGTTCTCAGTCCTCACATTTCTAGAGGTGAAAACTGCCGAATTTCAGTCTGGGCTGTGACCTTAGCAGTCTCTTAAATACTTAACTTTTTAGGTTTGAAATTATTTGTACGACTCTATTGGGTTTGATATAGAGACACAAAGTGGTACAAAACGCTATAATTTCATGGGCTGCTTTCAATATTTCTGGTTGATGAGAAAGAAAACATGAGGATGGGAAAAAATCCCTAAGGTTAAGAGGGGAAAGAGGCACATAAATAAATGCACAGAACAGCAGGAAAGACAACTGGGAAACATACCGATATAGCTAGATGGGAAATATCAGGGGAATATTTATGTCTCCTCCCTCAAACTCTGATCATTGAATCACAGAATCAAAGAATGATAGAATGGGTTGGAAGGGACCAGAGGGGAGTGCAAAATAGCCAGAAATATCCAAACAAGGACTTTGGAGTCTTGTAGAAGCTCTGAGCATACTCAAGGTAGCACCAGGTAGAAACACTGTTTTGACTGGAAGAAAAGTGGAGTGAGAGAAGGAGAGGAGTGACAAGTAAACATTTACTACTCAGGTATTATACAGGTGCTCAACAGCAGAAATTCTAAATGGGGGAAACAAAGGCCCCACAACCAATGCACTTCAGAGCACAGTTTGATATAAGGGAGGACAGCAAGAGATAAGGGCAAAGAGTTTTTTTAAAGAATTTTGAAGGGAGCCAAACTAATAGCAACTAACTTCCTCTACAGAAGTCCCTTTTCAAAGAACAGATCTTTTATTTTACTAACAGCAGCTAATGCAATTATGTGTAAGGATGAAATCTTGGATTTATTGATTACACATGACTGTTACTAGGAGCCAGATCTTACCACTCTGTTCACACTAAAATGAGCTCCCTGTGGGGAATTTTCAGTTCCCCTCAGAAGGAGGTGCTACTGGAGTTCAGTTATCCAGTTTACAGAAAACTAGGTGGCAAAATCTGAAACTTGGTGACATTCATAACCAACAATTATGAACATTCAGCAGACCCTGAAACATCATTTGCTGGAAATTTTCATTATCCAGTGCCAAGCCCTTCAACTGGAAAGGTATAGGTTCTGAGAAATTTTTCCTTGAACCTGAGATGGAGTTTCCACATAAATGTTTCCAAGTAAGAAAGACAGAAGGGAATTACTTAGCCATTCAGATACTCCACTGCTCTCTTTGAAGAACTGTGGCTACTTTCACATACAAAGGACAGCTTCAATGGGGAAGAGTAAAAGATGAGTAAATCAGAATTTAGAACAAAAATACCCAGTTAATGGCTGACTTGGTTTAAATTCTTGTTCCAAATCAAAGACAACATAGATGTAAACCCTTTCATCCAACAGCTGAAGTTAGCATCTTAAATATAGGCTTTTGGAAGAGAAACCAAAACCAAAACCAAAAACAAAACAAACAAAAAAAAACCACACACAAAAAAATAAAAAACACACAAAAACAAAACCAAAAACAAACAAACAAAAAAGAAAACAAAACAAAGCAACAACAACGAAACCACCCCCCCAAAAAAAAAGCCCCAACCAAGCCCCTCAACTCAGAACTGCTCAAAAATTTTGTTTGCCAGATGGAATTGCCATTCCTGGCTATCCATAGTCATGGCAGTCAGAACAGAAGAACATGATCTGGCAGACCACCATGCTATTCTGTGTTAGGACTGAACACACAATTTGGAACGGGGGCTGCAGGGACCTCATAGTGTGTTCTGTGGTAAATTAGGACATATATCTCATTTTGAACTTTGTCCTTGCTCTAAGTCTGGCTAATTAGTTCATACTGGAAGCTCATTTTGATGATTAATGACTGACTCTGGCCTAATATTTCTCTTTTTTTTTCCTTTCAGTTAAAAATAGTCCTTAATCTCCTTTTCAACTAATTTCAACTAATCCCAAAGCCTTTTGAGTCATAGCTTCTATTCTTAGTTGCCTTAATGTAGTTTTTGTTTTTTTTTTAAAACTCCACACACATGTAGAAGCCAACGTAAATTATCTCAAAATTCAAATGATATCCTATACGATACAAAAACACCAAACTTCCCACTGCTATTCAGTCATTTAAATTTTAAAATAACAAGACAAACATAACAAGCTAAAGTTCAGCCAGAGTTACCAGTGATCATCTGAGAAATTGAGAAGAAATATTGTACTCAAACTCAAGTAAGTCACTGAACCGAGTAGATATTGGCAATCTGGGGCAGACTGGTGAGGTAAGAAAACCATTTAACCTTTAATGTAAACCTCTATGAGAATAATTGCTCATTCTAACAGTTCTGTGAAAGATTTAGTGTTAGAGATGGGACCTCGGCTTTGAGTTCCTAGTATTGCAATCAAGGCCCCATTAGTGAGAGCAGACCTATCATCAGAAAAGCCAAAAAAAGACCTCTCCGCTGTCACTTGGCTTTGGTGAGAAGAGGTTATTTACATGCTGATGGAGTTGAACAGCAGAGGTGAAACCCAGACTCATAGAGTCGGTGATAAATCTCCTGCTGATTTGAGCTGAAATAGGATTTCATAAAAACCTTGTCCCTGGAGAAGAGGATATCATTTATATATAATGTTCCACTGCCTTCATGCTCTTGTGGCCCCAATCTGTGTTTATTTTTCATAAATGGATTTTAAATTATTTTTTTGCAAGAATTATTGGAAACATTTAATGTGCTTTTTGCGCCCATCTGCATTATCTTCATATTAATACCAGCAGATTTTCAGAGTATGTTTGCAGATCTAGTATCCCAAGCTGTGGACAGGCACCATTTCATCCATGTCATGGCAGAGGGGCAGCTTACCAACACTGCACTTTGGCTGAAATGAAGTGTTCATTTTGCTGCTAAGCAAAAATAATTTAAAAAAATTACATATAGCCACATATCTTATAAAAGGAAATGGTATCTGACTGCAGGGAGAAAAAAATAATCAAAGGATAGCTGGATATTTATAGAAATTTAATGGGCCAACGTAAGGCCTGGTGTGACCTCTGCAGTTCTAGAGATGCATTTGGCTCACTGTGTCTCCTCTCATTACAAACTCCTGCCAAACAAATGGGGTAAAGGATGTGAAAAACAGATGAACATTCTTTTCTTTCTTCTTTTCAGGAAAATCAGGACGTATGGAAAAACTTAACTCCTAAAAGGATTTAATTGCCAAGTTTATCCACATTTGTACCAAAAGAGCCCTATAGATACATGTGACTTGCAATAGTATCCTGGAGTTTG